GGCACTAGGGCACGACTCATGGCCCGAGCTTGAAAAATATTTAGTCGAGGATAACCCTTGGCTAGAGATGAACTCGTGGCTCGATAAAAAGGATCTCATACTTAGAAAATATTCTAAGTAAGGCTATGAGCATGGCTAGGGCTCGAACAAGACTCGAGACAACTAGGGCTCGAGAATTGGCTAGGCGCGAACTGGGCGCGATACTCGCGACCGAACAACTCGGTTCCGGACACGGCTAAACTTGGACGATTTATCGAAACAAACTCGGTTTCGATTATTCGTCAACTGGAATAACTAATTCCGACTGAACAAAATCCATTAATAAAATAAATGGACCGGAATTAATAACTGAGATTGAATAGCTGATAACTGGGCTCGGAACTCAAGACGAGCAGTATTAATAAAAAGAAATAGTTCAACTGGGAACTAAAAACTGTCATTTTTATTAATACAGAACTGGGCTATTACACTAACTGCGCTCTGATACCAAGCTGTAATACCCCGCCTACTATAACTTTGACTCACGAAAAACTGGGTAAAATTTTTGTGGTTGTTTCCGAAATATACTTATACTGTTTTCAAAAAACGTTTAAACTTAACTGACTTGCGGGATGCTACTTACTTACTGACTTACTTCTCTTTTTCTGTTACTTGTGCACATACCCAAATCAACATATAAGTTCCGACTGGAGAAAATACGGATAAAGGAAATTAAAGCGTGCATACATAATAGTCTGGGTTGGCAGTACGGAAGCATGAAATTAAGTACGGTACAGTCAGAAATTATTTATACATGCCAACATAACATAAACATAAACAAATGTCCAGCTGGCTCGGAAACCACCACACCACCATGCTCGGCTCACGCTCCGGGCTGCACTCCATCACCTAAAAAGATAATAGTGGGGGCGTGAGTACTCATCCACTGTACTCCGCAAGAACCAGCACTGAATAAACAACACGTATAATCAAATATCATAAACTCAGCATATACATAAATAAAACTGTACTGTACTGGTGCGAACTACCGGTAGCTGGCCGGTTCTCAGGTGATCACGTTCTGGAGGTCGCCTCCCCAGAAACCCAGGATGACTCTACTGGGAGTCAAACTGTACAGGCGAGTGACTCTACTGGAAGTCAACATCAAGTGGACCACGAACGGAAAAATTGGACCATTCGGGTAAGAGTTATCCACATACATACCTAATAAATGGTACAAGATTATAGACAATGTAATACCCAGTGCAAGGCCCCCATCTGGTATACTAAAATCATCTGGCAAGTGCTGAAAATTGGGGTAGCTGTCGGAGGCTCGCTCTCCTTAAGCTACCAAAATATAAGCAAATATATCTAAGAAATTTGCTCGACTTATAAAAACTGATACTAAAACTTAGACAGTTAAGCAGGCAAAACAGATATAGCATGAAAAGCATTTAAAGCACATAGATGCATGTAAACACTTAAAAGTAGAATGGATTTTCTCGGCTCGACTGGACTGATCTAGCGTTCCCGAATAAAATCTGACGGAATCCTGGAAACTGAATTTAACAGTCTAACTTAATCAGGTTTGAACCAGCCGGTCTAACTCAGTCGAATCGGGTCCGCTTACCGAACCAGCTTGGGTTCGACTGGTGACCTAGGCTCGGTCCGGGCAGCACGGGTGCGTACGCTGACCGTGCGGCACTGGATGCTTGCCTGTCAGGGCGGGGAGTGGACCCTCTCCGGCCACTTAACTTATACTAAGTCATGTCTACTCATGTAATTCGATCAAATCAAGATTTATCACATAAAGTCGATTTAGATCAAATTTAATCGAACTACTAACTTCATGAACTTTTAAAAATTCATACGAGTCTCCAAAAATCATCACATTTGTAAGTTAATTAGTAGACATAGGCATGTACATGCTGTACAAATTCCATCTCCTTTGAGCATAAATAGCATGGATAACTAGCCTTTCAATTTTAGCACATAAAATGCACTTTACACCCATGCATTCATATAATTTTATAAATTCTTACTCTTGTCATCTGAAGATTAAACTTGGTGACATTACTCACAACTAATACAAGAAATGTCCCTTAAAATTTAACATAAATCCCACAAGTATTGGGGGAGTTATAAAGCATCAAAGTTCAACTCGACATGTATTCGGTCTAACAAATATAACTCACTCATTTCTTATGATACAATCATGAAATTTGGTGTACATGCTCTTAACTCATATATAAACATGTTCAAAAAATGTAATAATTTTATCCTAAGTATAACTCGAGTTATTCGGGTTTTAAGTCGTAACTGAATTCGCGCAGAAAAAGTTCAATTTGCACATCTAACTTAAAAAATCAATAACTCGAGTTATACTAAGCCAATTGACTTCATTCTTGATCCTATTAACTCTTCTTTCCCAAAGGAAATAGCCATATAATTCGAACATTTCCATAATTTTCAGAGCATAGGTAAAAATGCATGAAAACCAACATATAGAACATATAAGAAAACTAGGAGTACTTAAACATTTAGCATGCTAGATACCACTTAAAAACTGAACCTATAGGGCATCAAAACATATAATTCTCATCCTCATATCATAAATAACAAGTCCTAAAAAGGATTTAGCAAACCAACCTCTAGAACTTCAAGAAAAATGCAAATGAACTCTGGTATGCTTGGTTGAAGTGCTCTCGGCTTTGCTTTCTTGTAGCCCTCGACTTTGGCTTGCTTTATTGGAACTTCTTGATATTTAAAGCTTCTAGGACGAGAGAGTATGAGGGGATGAAATTAATGTGCTGTTGGAATAAGATGAGCTTGGCTAGAACTTGGTAACAACTCAAGACAAGCACTCGGTTTTTCTAAAATCACTCTCGGCCTTTGGTTTTTACTCTAAGTGTTGGGTGCTTTTCTCACAACTGTACTAAGTATTATCTGAGGTTCAAATGAGGATTAAATGTAATAGAAGTGAGTAAGATATAGAGGTCATTGTCGTGTAAAATTATGCAAGATCATGGAAGACATTGTGGTGACAAAAGATTGTGGAACTCTTTCCCTATGTACATGGTGGGGCTTTGTGGCATGTGGCTGAGCATACGGACGATTTTATGGGCTGAAAAAGGCTGAATAAAGTCTGGTCATGCACTATGAGAAAGAGTGGAAACATTCTCTTACACATTGCAATATAAAAATGAAGCACCATGCTTGATTAGGAGTATAATATTGCTAATGAATGGTTAACCTTGCTAATGCTTTCTAAGGCTTGATTAGGACTTAGAAAAATTCCAATAATCCACTTAAATATCCGGATGAACCATATTTCTTAGCTTGGAAGCCTAGAGCTAGTCTTATAACATAAATTATTGCTTAATGATATTAAGGCATGATTAGGCCTTAGGAAAAAGACTAACAAACATCCTAATGATCCTAAACTCTAATGTTTAAGTCTTGATGGCTCGAGAAGGAATGGGCACAAACAAAATATTTCTAACATTATGACTGAATAATCTCACATACTTAAATCATAATCGAGCGCTTAAACACATAAATTCACATAATTCATGCCATAGTCTTAAATCAAACAACTCGGAAAAATCCGAAACACTATCGGTTTCACTTTATAGTCGAGCAAGTGAAATCGTTCTAATATTATAACTGATCGGGGCGTTACAGATATGAGAGCTGCGGGATATCTGTTCTCTCTACTAACGAGCGCGAAAATAGAAAAGCTAGGGTTATTGTCTTGTGGCTCAACACACACACAACCCACTAGCAGGTCGGGCGGACCGGAGCTGCCCAATGGTTCGATTCTCGCGGGTCAGCCGGTTCTCTCGGGCTCGATTAATCACAACATTAGATTGGTTCGACTAGGAAATTAAATTTTCCAATAAAATAAATAAACCGGACAGTATATATATTTATAATACACACAATTTAATTCTTAAAAATAATATTATTAATAAAAATACAATATACACATTTTAATTAAATAATAACACTTAGACAATTTTGCAATTAATTATAATTTTACAAATAATCATATTAGACATTTAATAATTTTAGCATTCAACAAATAATAATAACAACAAATAAAGACAAATAATAATAATAATAAATAATAAATAATTTCCAAATATTCAATAATTAAACGGGGCATTACAATCTATCCTCCTTAAAATATTTCCGTCCTAGGAAATGCGAAAGAACACACATAAAAGAGGAAAAGATAGACTCGCTCAGGAATTCCCAATCACGAGGTCCGGGCATTATTCTCCGGAACTCGATTTCGTTCCCATGGGTCTTGTAACGCCACGTTCAATTTATAGAATTTTTAAGATTATTCTATTTATCGAATATTATTTATGAGGTCATATTTATTCTAATGGTCACGATGTGGACTTAAATTCTATGTTGAAATACACGATCGTTCTATTTTAAAACGCTCGTCGTTCGGCGATTTCAGTTTAATCGCGTGTTTCAAATTCGAGCCGTTGATTATTGAAAATTTCGAATATTGCTTTATTGGCATAAATATTATTTATTTGAAATAAATGCCTAAGTGATATTATGGTGTGGATTATGTGTATATAATTATGTGATTATTGTGTTATTATTTATGTGTTAGAACTATTAGGATTTATTTGAATTATATTAATTGTTCGACAATTTTCGGTTTAATCGCGTTAACCGATTATTAATCCGTTCTGATTCGTTTTCGAACCATTCCAATCCAAACCTTGAATCTATTCTTTTGACCCGAGTCAATGCTAAGTTCGGTCCATTTTAGCTCATAAGATCCAGGCCAATTGGGTTTATTGTTCCCAGCCCAAATTAATTGTGTAAAATCGGCCCAAATTTAATTGTATTTTAACCATGCCCAATTTCAACAAAGTCTTGGCCCAAGAGTTAAAATATTTTTCAACCCTTAAACCTATTACACGCCACTAAAACAACACGCCACTAAAACAAGGACAACCCCATTTTCTTCCCCTTCAAATCGCAGCCTTTGGTCACCCTCTCCAAATCGCACGTCTCCCCCTCTCAGCCAGATAGTGATAATTCCCCAGATCGCGCAGAGCTCCATTGCCCAAACACCAGACTTCCCAATCGCTATTTAATCCCAGCCCTTCGTTCGATAGAACCCACCCTGTCGGCGCATCCCAATCGCCGTTTGCGCGTGTGGCTGCGGGAAGAGAAACTGAGCAGCAGATTTCGACGGTTCATCACAACAACACCATCATCTCCGTCGAAGTCGAAGGGACCCTGTCCGTTCATGCCGATAACCACCATCTCGGTCATCGAGCCGTAAGGTACCGTCGATCCTTCTCAGTCGGCGATTCCGTTCAACAACTCCACGCCAGCCTGAGACTTTCTTCCCGACGGTGTGTCCGGCACCGTCGATCTGCGACTTCCTGCAACCTCTGTTCACGAGCAGTGCACGCCCCTGAGGTCCGAGCAGTCTGAGGCGAGACATCATCCCGGTGACCGTTGGCAGTTCCCCGTTTGCAACGGCACCCCGTCGACCTTCGTCTAGGGCCCGAACAGCAGCAGCAGCCCTTTCCGCTCCCGTGTGAGAATAGCGGCAGAGGCTTTATCGAGCAACCGTAGACCTCGACTCAGCTGCAAATCGGCTCCTTATCAGCAAACAGAGACGGCCTATTCCGACGGGTTTTGCCATCGACTTCGAGCAGCCATCTCCCAGTCGGCTTCTTTCTTTCGAATACCAGCGACGAGCACTTTGGTGGAGTTAATGAGTCGTCCTCTGTTCATCTTTTGTACGAGCGGTTGTCGGTCCGTGAAAATCATCGAGAGAGGTATATTGACTGAACCCTTGTAGTTTTGTTTTGCCCGAGGTTATATGGTTTTATGTGTTTTGTGTTAATATAAACTAGGAAATGTGTTGCTTCGGTTGAGAAATGGCATGCTTAATCTTAGTGGAAATTGGAGAGGAAATGTGTATTGATTACATGTGCTTATTTGACCGAGTTGTGATGTGATTTATATGTTGTGCCTTATGTGATTATTTCATGTTGGGTTGTGAGTGTTTGATAGTTTTGTTATCAGTTCAAGTGGACCTCGTACGGTATTGGAGTATGAGAAAAGAAAGGAGTTAAGCACGTATGTTGTTGGGAGTTGTTGAATTTCTGAAACCAATTCCTCGACTGTTGCGTAACTGTGTTAATTCTTGCTGTAATGGCTGAGTTTATTCTCTCCATAAGGTTCAGTGTAGAAAGATGTATATATATATTTACTTATTTATTTTTATATAGTATATTAAAGTTTCAGCACTTACAAGTTAATTTTCTTGTTAAAGGTCTAGTTGCAGGAAGAAGTTTTCTTTTAGCATGCTTTATAGGCATAATGAAAAGAGAAGTGTTGTGTGATTGTGGGCTGGTATTTTGTTTGAATTGTTGAGCCGTATCCATATTAGATTATTGCTGCAAGTGTAAGTTAATTTCAGAGGTTATAATCAGTTTATTTAGTCTCTTTAATTACTTAATAAGAATTTTGAAGGTTGACCTTATCATGATTAATTTTATGTTAGAGTTGTAATGTTTATGAAGATTTTAGTAATGAATATTCCCCACATTTCAAATTTGGTCTTCATGCATTGGTTTCTAAACTTTATAATTTGCACCCATGGGAATTTCTATTCTAGAGAGTTGGATTAAGCAATAGGGTTTCATATTACTCAATTGGTGCATAGGGCATATTTTATATTGAGTTTGTTTATGTGATATATATGCTGAAATAGTGTATTTTCTTTAAGGAGTTGAGATAAAGAGAGAAAAATTATGTGACTTTATTTGCTTATTTTGACTGAAATATCTGATTTGTATCTGCTTAACTTGATCGCATTTTGTGCTCTTATCTGATGTGTACCCGACGTGTTTTAATGTGTTGATCTACATTTTCGATCAAAATCCTTAATAATAATTAAACACTAATTTGTAGATTAAGAGAATTCGAACCCTCGCCATTGTTTGCTCGTGCATTCACCATTGTTCTCTGCAGTACCAGGTGGGTTTTATTTGAAAATTTGTCTATGATGTAAATGTTATTACTGTCTCAAATTTGGTATGATCAAGTATGCATGTGGAACATGTAGCCTTCGATGTGAGCTGTGCCGGCCGTCGAACGGTTATCCCCGTAGCTATATAACATACCCGTAGGGTAGTCTCCATTTTGAGCCGTAAGTCCTGGGTTAAAGGTCCCTGTGCTGGACACATTTTGAGCCGTAAGTCCTGGGTTAAAGGTCCCTGTGCTGGACACATTTTGAGCCGTAAGTCCTGGGTTAAAGGTCCCTGTGCTGGACACATATTGAGCCGTAAGACCTGGGTTAAAGGTCCCTGTGCTGGACAACCCCATTGGTAAGACCAAGGTGAGGCCTTGGCCGGCGGGATACTCCTGCTGGCCGGACACTCGTTGTAAGGCCTTAGATAAGGCGTTCGGTATATAGTTCGGCAGTAGTCTATTGCTATAGGTGTGCACACGAGTCTATTATTGATATTATTGATGGGAGATTGGGATAGATGATTGTTTCATATACGTGCTATGACCATACCTGACTTATTGTTGATTATTGATTATTGTTTTTACTATTGTGGATAATGTTTACTGCATAGTGGTGAGCACTACTTTTTCCAACTGTGCTCATCCCGACCTGAAATTCACGTTTCAGGATAAGCGAGGCAGGTGCGACGGCGGAGTTAAGCGAGTGGTGGTCGGTCTATAAGACTGTCCTATTAATGTTTATGCTTCCGCATTTATGATTTGATTTTTATTATGATCTTGAAATACTATTGCTTTTATGAATTCTGGATTTATGATTGAATAATGTTAAGGAGATGCTCCTTCAAACTTATGAATATTGTTGGAACCCGATTTGGGTGAATTATGCATTTTGGAAAAACCCGTTTTGGGAGTTAGTAATATTGATGATTGAATTATTGATGATTGATGATTGATATTGATGACTGTTTGAGTATTGAGAAATTGGTTAAGTATTGAAGTTCGCTTTGAAAATGAGTAACGCCTCAGGTGTTTTGAAATAAATTTGAAAAATTTATTCTGATTTTCGGCAATAAAAGTGGGGCGTTACAGTTTGGTATCAGAGCCAGTCTGCATTTCTGTAGACTGGTTAGTGTGAATATTTTGGTTATGTACTTAGACCTTAAGTTATGACCACTCGCTTCCGTCGTGCCGCGCCAACTCAGGTATGAATACTTGAGTAAATTTTGAATTGCTTATGTGCAATATTGGGATGTTATGATATGTAAAACGGGGCTTAGGAATTTATCCTCCTACTTTTAAACGTTCTAGAACTCTAGATGAGTGGCGAACCTTAGTTGTAACTTGAACTCTAGCGATATAGAGTTAAGTTCTAACTTGAGGTTTTGTTTGTTTAGAAATTCGACATAATGTTATCAAGCTGAGTTCTGTGTATAACAGTTCTCTCGATGTATTTTTGGTGTCCTCGGATGAGGACCATTCGCGAGCCATCTTGAAAGGGGAAGGCTTAAACGAAGGGAGCAGCTTGAACCGATGATGAAAACGATGAATTGTGGACTCGTGAAGACGAAGTAGTCGTGCTGCCTTTCTTAAATTCTTGTCTTCTTGTATACTCTCGCAAACTTTTTTCCCATTCACATGGCAAACAATTTGAAAGTGTGATTGAGGCTTCTTTTTGTTATCCAATTATCACATTTTGAGGGGCAAAATTTCATTTTTGGTCCTATAACTTGGCCACAGTCCAAAAAACCACCCCTATATTGACCACTTTCAATTTAGGTCCTATAACTTGTCAATTTAATCATTTATGGTCCTATTTTATCCGGCAGCGGGATAAAATATTGACGTGGCATTTTTTTATCCGATGTGGCGCCTCATGTTAAGATAATAAAAAATTGGAGCAGTCACGTGGAAAATGAAATTGCCACATCAGGTATAAGTTCTCTCCTTAAAATCGATTTGCCCCAAAATCGATCCCTGTAACCCTAATTGACCTAAGCTCGACCGAGAGAGAAAGAGAGAGCCAACAACGATGTCTTCTGCTTCTTCCGTCTCGACGCCTTCCAATTTTTTTTGTGATTGTAACAAGAGAGCTGTAATACGCAGATCACGGACTTCAACAAATCCTGGTAAGAAATTTTACGGTTGCAAGTATTTGAAGGATGAAGGTTGTACGTTCTTTAGATGGGTGGATGAAGATGTTCCCGAGAGCTCGAACAATCATATTATGGCCAATGAAATGATCGAGGTCAGGAAGAAGATGCTATTGCTTGAAGCCGAGAACAAAAAAATCAAGGAGATTGTTGAACTCCAACTTCAGCATGTGGAGGACATCTATGAAGAATTTTCCAATATTCGTAAAAAAATCTGGAAGCTCGTTGTGTTTGTTGCTGCAACATGGTTTCGCTTCATTATTTTGATTGTTGTCATGTGGTGAAAGTTGTATGTTTTTTATTGTTGTTATGTATGTGCTGCAACAAGGTTGTATGTTTTTTTCTTCATTTTGTGTTGTATGTTTTCCAAGGTTGTTTGTGTTGTTTGTGTTGTGAACACTTTGTGTTGTCTGATGAATATTCTATGTGTGTCAAACTTTTGCACCTATGTTGTAATGGAGATGTTGGTCTTGTTAATCTTGTTAGTTTTGTTTATCTTATTTTTGTTTATCTTAAACCGAACAGTTTAAGTTCATCTGCAGAACAAGAACATTATAAACAATAAGAGGTGTACTTGTCCATAAGCAGAACCTATAAAATCAAACCATAACCTGAAGTCATAACCAGAACTTGGAACAAAAGTGACATGAACTTTGAGTTCATCTCCATAACCATAAGCAGAACCAGACAGCCTCAAAAATTTTTCACATACATTTCCATAACGAACACAATAGTTCATCTCCATAACCATAAGCAGAACCAGACAGCCTCAAAATTTTTTAACATACATTTCCATAACAAACACAATTCCAAACCAAAAGAACTTGTCCACAACCTGAACCAACTAAACCATCCACACAAAAACCAAACATTCAGTGACAATAACAAAAACACCCTAATTCAGTTACTATCCAAAAACCAACCATCAATCAACAACACCCAAATTCAGTTTCAAAACACAACCAACTTATTTGGTTTCATTCTTTTCCTTCTTTTTCAGATCAGCAGATGGAACAAGACTGCTAATAGAGGTGTACTTTTGGCCACATTCTTTGAATATCTCCTTCAATCTTGAATCTCTCTCAGTTAGGCAGCTCTCTTGGCTTGGTATGAAATGACCACCAACAAATGGTACTGGTCCTCTGATGACCACTCCTTTAGTGGGATGTCCCATCTGCATTTGTTGGTAAGGAGTTGGGGCAGCTTTGAACCATTGTGTTGCAGGGGCAGGGTCAGGTACAGCAGGAGCAGGTTGAGGAGCAGGTGGAGGAACAGGTGGAGCAATAGGTGCAGATTGTGTTGCAGGGGT